GGCTACCCAGCAATGCAGCTTAAAAGTGTGGGATCATTTAAAGAAAATGAAAGAGAAACCTGTGCAATATCTGCAGAGCAGAACTTACCTTCCACAGGCGTTATTTTTAGTTAGCATATAGCTAAAATCTAACCATGGTTATATAATAGCAGCTGCATTCTGGAGCGAAAAGCTGGATGTTTTATATTCAGTTAACGTATGATCCGATTAGTCGACTAATCGAAAACAATAATCGGTGATTAATCGATTATAAAAATAATCGTTTGTGGCAGCCCTACTCCTTGTTGTCCTACTGCAAATACTCATCATAAYAACGTGTTTTGTTTGTCTGTCCTTTGTGTGTCAGATGACCTTGCGGAAGCTCCTTGACCATTTGAAGCTCGTGGCGTCCTTTCAAGAAGTGAACAAGATGACGTGCCAGAATCTGGCGGTGTGCTTTGGCCCGGTGCTGCTCAGCCAGCGTCAGGAGGCGTCCTGCCACACGAACCGCGTCTTCATCGACTCGGAGGAGCTGGCGAGCGCCCTGCACTTCAAAAAGCACATCGAAGTCCTGCACTACCTCCTGCAGCTCTGGCCAGGTGAAACTTTCTTTTCTTTTCTTGGTTAAAACAGAGGTGTCGTGGCTCAAAAGAACATAAAATTTACATTCAAGTCATGCTCTATTTCTTTTTATAGTAGCCTTACAAATCACTAGCAGCTCTGTGGTTCAGCGCTACAAGGAAGTGCTACGGGGGCTGGGCAGCTTTGATCCTGCAGGCTGTAGACGGGTACGGGTGTGGCTGATAGCCACTGGCCTCCATCTGTTGGCTCTTTCCACAAGTGCTTCATCATGGTTGGCTGAGCTAATCAGAGCCAACCTCAGCAAAACCCAATTTATGAGGCGTAGCCCCTCTGTCCGAAGATAAATCACTTACCAAGGAGACACCATCAGTGCCAGTTCGACTCTGCGCAGATCATCTGTCTGCCTGTGCAGCTGTTTCTACCAGCTGCAGCTGTCTGCTCAGTGTGACACATGAAGGAACATGCAGATTACTTCAGACGGCAGTCATGAGTGATATCAAAAGGTGCAGTTAATGTAAAAGTTATGCAGTCTTCCACAACCCTTTTTTGTGTGTGTGTGTGTGTGGTAAACCAGCCCTAAAGGCAGTGATTTTAAAAAGTCAGRCAGGAGAAACCTAAAGGCACACAGTGGTGGGCAAAATACTTTGTCTTAGTTCCGCTAACGCTAACCCACTAATTGAAAATGAGAGGAAGCTAAAACTAAATGCTAAAATGGCGGTCGGTGTCACACACCATCTCTTTCCAGTTGAAGACTTGTGTTTTACACAGCAGCACATTTTTATAAAGATTGTAGGAGTGTAAAACCCTGTAAAAAAACATTTATACTACATATAGCTACATACAATATATGTCCTAAAATCTTTATTTTGTTACTAGACACTAAGCYATTTTATCTCTTCAGACATAAAATGTGTTCATCAGAGACGTCACAAGCCATGTTTCCATCCAATTCGAATTTTGAGCGAATTTTAAAAATTTTGCAAAAAGGAAAGAATGAAAAAATGTGAATCAGACGTGTTTCCATCAACTGGCTTGAAGCGAATCAGTTACGTCAGACGCATTCGTGTGGTAAACAGGAAGTAAAAGTCGCATCTCAGGAAAATGGAGAGACGTAATCAGGAACGTGTTGCTTCTATCAGGAAAGTTGTACTTATTCTGTCATATCAACTGGTTCTGGTGATGTTACGTGCTGTCTGGAGACGTAGAGAAAGAAATGCAATTCTCTTCACATCACGGGAATAACTGAGACGACGCCGACAGCAGGAGGAGGGTCCTGCTGCGAGTCACGGTTGCAGTCGCTCTGGTACCGGTACCGTTCAGACAGCGGAAACAGCTGATCAGCATGTGAGGTAAATGTTTGCTACGTCAGAACTTATTCGACAAATGTGTTTCCATCTCTCCTTTTGCGCATTAACTCTTTTTTCGGAAAAAAACAAAAACCACCTCAAGCGAGCGTGTCAACTTTTTTGCGAATTAGAGGAAGTTTTTTCGAATCATGCCGTTTCCATCCACCTTTTCTGATGCGATACTTCAAAATGCGCATTAAAAAAAACTTGATGGAAACACGGCTACAGCTGTGACATCTGCAAACAAAACAACGTTAAAAAGTCACAACACATTTACCAAAGCATTTACAGACAAAAAAAAATAACTTTGGACCAAGTACAGAACCCTGAGGAACTCCCCATGTGATGTTACAGAGTTCAGATCTTACATGATTTATTTGTACAAACTGTTTCCTGTCTTTCAAATAGCTAGATACCCACTGTAGTGCCAATCCTCTAATGCTGTATTTATTCAGCTTTTCATAGAGAATATTGTGGTCAATAGTGTCAAATGCTTTCTTTAAATCAACATAAATACTAAAAATTCTGTTTTTGAAAAACTGCAGTTATCTGTTCTATCAATTCTTTGAGAGCCATTGATGCTGAATTATTTGCTCTAAACCCGTATTGACTATTAATACTTTCTGTTTATCATTAAATTGATCTAATCTGATCACAAATAATTTCTCTAAAATTTTTGAAAACTGTGGCAACAAGGATATTAGTCTGTAATTGTTGAACACACATTTCTCACCATTCATATAGAGAGGGCTTATCTTAGCTATTTTCATTTTATCTGGAATTATTCCAAGTCAGACCTCAGGAAACAAACAAATTTGTTTTACTCTGTGGCCCTAATCCTCTCTCAAAGGAGTAGTTAATGCGCTCGTTAAAAAATAATAATAAAAAGCTTGTAAATTGAGAATTGGAGTAAATTGTGAAGGTTTTACTAGAGTTTTGTCAAATATGAGTTTCAGTAAATATGCCATGGATAGAAAAACATTTCCAATTATTTTACTTCAGATTAAAAGCATTTCTTG